TATGCATTGGGTCTTTCGGTTACAATGCTCGTCATGCATTCATTCAAGGTTATCATTTTCACTTAAATTTTCATGGATATTCGGTTACGTTTTAATTAATGAACACACAATCAGTAGAAATTATGTTTATGTGCTGGGATTGTTTCGTTGATTCACTCAAAAGGAATAATCTTTCTGTAATTGATGTGCATTTTTTCAAAAGAATATTTTGCATTTTTTGACGTATTCTGAGCGATTAGTATGAAAGAGTTATGTGTTGTTAGGTCATGAAGGGATGTTATGTGATTACAGGCCGCACAGCCAGCGCTACTGTACTTGGTGCCAGCATGTGTGCTGATACCGTTGGGTGTAGCGAAACTGAGAGGTGAAGCGGGTGAGATGTGGAATTATTGTGAGGAGCATCTCATCGAGAAGGATGAGGATAAACAAAAAGAGAGTGAAAAAGAAAAGAAAACGAAATAAATTAACGAATAATCGATTGTCGATTGCTACGATCAACTGTCCTTTTTTCCGTTTTTTTTTTTCTCATTTTTTCGGTCTTTTCTGATTGGCGAATAATTTGGCCAATACTTTCCTGGGATTTGGTTGANTTTTTCTCATTTTTTCGGTCTTTTCTGATTGGCGAATAATTTGGCCAATACTTTCCTGGGATTTGGTTGATTTAGGGACGAGTTTGTTGTTTTTAGGAATATTCATCGTTCTGGAATGAAATTATTGGCAATATCTCGTTGTATCAGTTGAAAAGTTGTTTCATTATAAAACCTTTTTTTGATAGATAGATCTTAGTGTTAATAGCATTTTGAATTTTATCACGTCTCGAAAATTGCAATTCGTGATAAATAATTGGTCGGTAATTAATTCCCAGATTAATGAATATGATTTGTCGTTACGATAAGTGGGAAAATTGTTATCAGAATGGGATGACTAACCAGTAGTATGCTAATGAAATCATCGTAATTCGACGAACTTGTGCTGGCGGTTATCGCCAGCTGCAGTGGTCGAATTCTTTGCGATCCTCTGCAGTTGCGCAATTTTGGAGTGACAGTGGTTTTTGGAGTCATGAAATCATCTACTCTCATCGTATTGTGATTATATGACTGATCTTTTTATTGTTGCTTCTTCTCCTCTTTCGTGTTTTCAATGTGAGAAAACGTATTTGTCGTATGTACGTGCATCTGCTTTTGCTTATTCATGCGGTGATAATGTGTTATGATTGAGCAGTATTAATT